GCATAACCTACAGGCGGTGATAACAAAGTGGAATCCAAGTGGTCCAACCTTCGTGATGATCTACAACCTCACCACTTCTTCCTATGGAAAGAGAGAACGTAGGAATGCTGACTGGTACGAGCTGGGAAGAAAAAGAAACAGTGACAAAAGCCAAGAAAAGAGCTCTCCTTGCCCACAAGAAGGATCCCAGTCCCAGCACATAACATATGCTCCAAGGCCAGGGCCGCAAGAGACCAGTAATGCAAGAAGGCTGTATGAGGGCATCAAGAAGGCAATATGACCGAATATCTCGATAACGACACTGGTGCAGTCCAAGACAGGAGAAGTTATCACCGATCCAGCTGATGCAAGATGCAAGTGTACCAGTCCTGTGTCCTCGTACACTCTTGAACGGTTGTGAAGCCTGGACAACCCATGCTGGTCAGGAGAAGAGACTAAAGAGGTTCCAACTCCGATGCCTCAGACGTATCCTCTGCATAAGCTGGCAGGATCGAGTGACAAACACGGAGGTTTTAGAGCGTGCAGGTATCCCGAGCATGTTTGCTGTCCTCGGTATGAGACGTCTTAGATGGCATGGGCCATGTCATGAGGATGGACTCGGGTCGGCTCCTGAAAGGATCTCCTTCATGGAGAATTTGCTGAATATACCATATTATTATACCATTACGTAGTGACGCCATCATAGTAGTAATATTCCAGTGAAAAATTATAATAGACTAAAATGTCTGTAATTGTAACGGGTACACATTACGAGGTATGAGTACACAAAGCAACAGTGAAGAGAAAATTGTTCTCATTTTTGAGCGACACGACAAGCTAGAGAAATGATAATCAATGACATTTCACCGTCATACTTGAACGTCTAGTCGTCATCTTCAAGAAACACATCATAATCAATCTGTTGATGCTCTTCAACTATTGTTCCTCCGCCTTCTCAACAGTTTTCTGCAGCAAGTCAATGAGTGATGGAGAATGATAGGTCCTCATCACCACACTGGCATTATCCATCACCACACTGAAACTATGCTATGATTGTTGGTTCACTATATTACCATTCCAGCTAATACTACAAGATTAAGGCTACATCTTAATATAACTTCCTATGGTGTCTAGCTCAAAAGTCATGTAAAATAACAAATTTTCGAAATTTAAGATGGCCGTCACGATGGCCGCCCAAATAGTGGAATCATGCTTTCGATCGATTCCACTCGCCCAAATTACCCCTAACAACATGTTATTTTTTCTTCCCATGATGCCTTGTTCAAAAGTTACTTCACATACACCTGATTGTTGTCGAAATCCAAGATGGCCGCAAAAATGGCCACCATATTATACACGTTGCACTTTCAATACGGGCGATTCCCAATAGTGCGCCTCCAAGAGTTTGCAACGCGTTGGCCAATCACAATGCACGAAATCCGTCGACCTTTTCCAAACGCGCATTGGGTCGACAGATTTTGCGCATTGTGATTGGCCAACGCGTTGCAAACTCTTGGAGGTGCACTATTGGGAATCGCCCGTATTGATTCCTCACATCCAAATTAACCCGAAAAAACGTGTTCATTTGTCTTCCTATGATGCCTGGTTCAAAAGTTAGGTCAACAATAGACTTTCGTCGAAATCCAAGATTGCCGCCAGGATTGCCGCCAAGATGGCCGCCAAGATGGCCGCCAAGATGGCCGCCAAATGAACCCCATGGGACAGTATTTGATCTTGGGCACATCAAAATTCATTCGTTAGTCACCTTAAGGATTACAAAACAGTAGATTACAAAAATATATCTAGGGAGTGCATGGGAACCCTATCTTCCGACTAGACTAATTGGGCGTATCAAAATATGGTGCGGAAGCAAAGGAACTTTCTGGCGAATTGTATCAGTGTAGGACAAATCTTGACAGTGTCAGCGCGCTTATAGCGCCCTCTTGTGACCGAAGAAGATCTGAACCTATGACGGTGTCCCATGAAAATCCGACTCCTGTGGAAATCGGACCACCTTTTTCCCCTATTATTGGTTAATCCCTCGCACGTGACAGGTCACTCTCCCCAAACGATCCTTAAAAAAATATATATTATGGTACTCACGCGTGTGCAATTCCTACCAATGAGTCCACATTTCATGGAGTCGGATATTTTACGCTACAACGGCACTCCTCTAACTTGAAAACGTTACTACCCGCAACACCTATGTGCATGTCACCGGTTCCATAGCCACTTCCTTACAAGGAAATGTCTACTGTTGACCACCGTATGAGTGATCGGACGTTTGATTTTATACGTACAACAACCTCAATGACTGCTGGTTTTGAACAAGGAGGTGAATGACTTATCAATTGCATTGCGTGAGTGTGTCTGAAGTACGTGGCGAGAGCAACAGTTCAGGTATTTTGAAATGTTTCATAAATTATCACTGGGTGACCACATGACTGACCACTTACTCACTTCCTATGAGGTTAAGGTCCATATATGTATTTGACCAAACTTGACATTAAGTGATCTTTAATTGTGGAGGCTTGTAAATTTAAAGAAAATGACCACTAGTAACCACTATGTATGATAGCATTTTAAAGGCTCATTAGGAGAAAGAAAGGTCAGGTTTGGTCGGGCCAGGTCAGGTCTGGCTTATTAAAGGCTAAATCACAAGAGACAGTCAGTCCGGTCCAGTCGGTCGGTCGGTCAGTGCGTGCCTTTGGCTAGATAAGTGCTAAGAGCACTGTCACTAGCCTGGCCATCTGGGACCAGCACAGATGTAGTATTGAAATATACACGTAAGGCCGTGAGACACCTTAAGAGATCACTAACAGTAATAAATGATATCTAAAGACAACACAACACTGCAGGTGCACGCTTACACTCTATCTAAAGTGTTTTTATTAAATGAGAAAAGATATGCCGAACTTTCTCTATCATGTCTCCTACTCCATATTCATTTAATTTAATGGGCTTGAAGGTAATGGCCACAATTTGCAGCAGAATATTTTTTTGCCGATTCAAGAAACAGTAATACAATAAATCTGAGGCAGGTTGTTTATAAAAAGAAAGAAAAGGAAAAAAACCGTTGAAATTATGCGCAGTAGATATAATGCTTTTGAGAAAACTGTGACAATGCATCTCCAATTTCTCATGTACAAAGCATGTTTTTGTTGACAGTTTGATGGTTTGGTCCTAACCATCCCAAGGAAATGATGGTAAATTCTTCTGCATGGAAAAAGACAGCATACCGGGCGCAAACGATTGCACAGGATGCTTAAACATTGTATTCACTTTACAATAAAGTGGGATGTTTCAAAATATTTTGACAGTTTAATGTTTGAATGTTTGCAAATTGTGTCGATTACCTTTAACCTCTTCATATTTTAAAGGAAAAGAAGAAAAAGAAAAAAAAGACAGAAAAGAAAACAGTTTGCTGAAAAAATATAGCAAGTTCATACTGCTTTTTTTTTAAATCTATTTCCACCAGGTGCTGAACAACATGTATATGCTTAACCATTGTTGAAAAGGACAATTAAGAAAGACTAATAAACTATATAATTATGCCCATTTCTAAATTAAGAAAATTAATATATTATACCAGGTTTGCTAATATAATAAAGTAAGCTATATTGGATATTTCAAAAGTATCATGCAAGATTTATTGGAATTGTACAGTGTTGTAGAACAAAATAGTTTGCAGTTCATGAAAAATATTTATTCCATTGGTTTACGAAGCGATTTTGAGTGGGTAAACTCTTTTGTATTGACTCAAATTTACCCACTTCAAATAGCGCCCTCTTATTGTGTCCGCAATACTTCAACGATAGGTTGTTACGATTGAAGTAATTATTATCGAAGTGTTACGTGCATTGTCCTCTGGGGATTGTTTTCTGGGTCCAAGAAAATCCCGACAAATGTCTGACATTTCCAGAAAAAATGTTGAAAATGCCCGTTTGTGTCAGCGATTTTTGCCCCGCCTTTAAGTATTTCTAGCAGTAAAAAAAAGCCATTTGAATTAAACAATTAAACCGTCACTTTTCAAGGTATAGTTGTGTGCACGTTTATATTCCACTTGTCATCAACCTTTTCATTGATTATTATTTCTTGAGAAATACGTTTTTAGAGCCCAAAAGAGCGCAACCGGCCAAACGTCACCTTTAGAAGTATTGTATTTTGAGTGAAAAAAATGCGATATTCTAGCTGGTCTTGCAAACATATCCCTTTCACCATTATTCTACTACATGCAAAAAAAATTTTTCATATGTAAATACATGCCATTGTATTTATTACTGATTGTGCCCCTAAGAATCTAAAACAATCTGGGGGGGGGGGAATCGAAAAAGGGAAAATTTAAGCTTCTGTTAACCACCTGTTTTTATTCAACCGATTTCTTTTGCCGGTATCAATGTAGCATGGGAAACCCCTGTCTCTAATGCTCATTGGAAATTTGACAATTCAAAATGTGGAAAAGTCTGTGTCATAAATATTGGTCTACTGTTAGACTGATTCCGGGCCCTTCAATCGTAGCCCTCGTTTAGAGTGTAGGAGGCGGGAACAAGTCCGAACGGGGGCCTCTGGAAAAGCACATGAAGTGCAAATGCCTTTTTGGGGGCATGTTATTACATCGGATCATTTGCTTTTAGTGCATCCCCCACATTTGAGCAACGAAGTCGTTGTAACTCGTACGAATGATGCATACTTGTTGGAGTTTCAGCTCAGTGGATACTATACCTTTTGAGGGGGGAAAAACGAGAAAAAAAACAACATATTTTTGTGCCCACTTTCAATTATTGATACCCTTTCAGGCAGGGATTTTTTCTACAGTTCTTTCTTCATTTTAAGTGAGGTATTCTTGTTAAAATCGGTAGGTACACTTTTCTGGGTAACTGCAAATATTCTTACGTGCCTTTATGTTTTGACTGAAGCATTCTTAAAATGTTACACCACATGACACATGCATCCCCGCTCCAGTGTGTTACATTTCCAGCGAGCATTAGAGCTAAGGTGTTCCCGCGCTGGCATCGATGGAATTACTCATGACTGTTGCAGCCGAGGACCTCGAAGCGCATACTGCTATGTGTATGGTGCTGAGTAGGCAGGATACGCAGGAACCTGGCCTGGAAGGCCTTCGGGAAAGTGGTGGTCACGCGGGTGTTTTTGTCCGAGTTTCCAGGGAACTGTGAGGAACAAACAATATGGAAACGAATTTTCGAGTTTTCCCCATGCATTTACAGCAGCAGGGGCGTACATCCGGGGGAGGAGTTATATTATCCCCTCCACTTTTTGACCAGTGGGGATGTGGAATATTGGATCCCCCCCCCCGCCACTTATCGTGGCAAGAAACAAAAAAGTTGGATTTTAAAATATTTTTCCAACTTTCCAACAACCAAACTGCATTCAATAGTACTGAAGAAGGGAGAAAAAGTACGGAAACTTTGAATACTGACGCTGTCTAGATGTAAAATTAAGGGCTGTAAGTATACATAACGTGCACATCTGTATCATGAACAGCGCCCCCTAGTGTCATGTTGAGTCCAGCAAGCCCCCTTTTCTTTTTTGTATCGGGGGCATTTTTTATTTTTTTTTTAATTTTAATCATCCCCTATCCACTCCCCGGCACAGATTCACGCCACTGTGCAACAGGATCGCCAGAGGGAGCCCTCGTCCTACGGCGTTCATCTCATGAGCGGGGCTTTGTGCAATAAGCCCAATAAGTCTTACCACTAGAACACCAAGTTTGCCTGGGTCTGTGGTTGGTTTGAATCAACGGCGGATGCAGGGGAACGGGGGCCATCCCCCCCCCCCCCCCAAAAAAAAATTATACTTTTGTTTTGGTAACGTCTAAAAAAAAAACCAGCCATTGTACATCACCCACAAAAATAATAAAATAAATTGACAAGGTTTTCACGAAATAGATATATGGATTTTACTCAAAAAATAAGAATTTACAACGTATGTCGCAAATGGGAGAGTTTTAGAAAAGAGATATCAGGTCCGAATTTCAGCCAAAGAAATTAATTCTGGTTAAAATAAGAGCATTTTGAAACTGCACTTTTAAACTCGAAAAATTTAGTACACGAGAACAAAGAAATGTCTCCACAAGGATACACATTTCAGTATGTATGGACAACACTGAGTATACAGTGTTTATCAAATTATGCATCGGTGAAAGGGCATTTGAACAATATGATTAGACTACCTTCATCGGTGTACTTGATCCATCATCGGTGACGTCGGTCCATTCTTGGCCATCGTTGCTGTAGGCGACTTTGAACTCTGTCACCCATTGCCGCCAGTTCCCATCCCCGCGCCCCTGCGTGATAACGCCAGTGATGATCACATTGGAACCGAAGTCGACCTGGATCCATGGATCAGGATCACTAGCTTCATCATTACACCAGGCTGCGGCTCCGCCCCTGACTGCAGAGTAAGCAGATAATCAAACAAGCTGAGCAGAACATTCGGCTGTGCAAATGTACGTGCTAAGCTGAGAACCTTCGCTAAGCACTACATGAGGCAGCGGTCACTTGCAAAGTAAGCGGATAGTGAGAAAGCAGTCCTAATGATGCCTAACGACGTCATGCTTAAGTTTTTTTACATGTGCGCTTTCCTATGAGAGACAGGTGGGACCAGGCCCGGATTAAGCGTTTCGTAGGTCTAATAGGCATCAGTGTTCCGTAGGTCCTACTTAGCCCTAGGTATCGGCACCAAATTCCTGTTAATGCTATTAAAGAACAAAGCACTATACAAAGTATATATCAAGCCAGGCCAAACTGATATAGGTCCCTGCTCTAAAAGTTTGTTGGCACTAAGGGCGTCAATCGCTTCTTAGAAGTGGGAGGGGTGGTACATACATTTTACATGTGTATCTTGATCAGACCTAATGCGACTGCGACGCCTAACCGGCATGGGGTTTCGGGGGCCGCTAAATTGAAGAGCCCCGAAAAAAAAATCGATTGTAGACGTTCTGTTGTGCGATCTGAGGCAATTTCTGACTACTGCCAAGGTTTTAGCAAAAGATCATCATTTAAACGGGATTTTCGAGTTTGGGGTCATTGAATCAGCGGACGAAAATAGTTTGGGGACGACATGTTCCCCGGACCCCAGCGATCGACGCCCATGGTTGGCACCGTGCTTCAGAACGACAGACTTGCACGTAAATTGTTTACGTAGGGCATAAAAAGTATGCCTACATGCTGTACAGCGTCAGTTGGAGAAATCGAAAATTCTAAGACAAATCCTATGATATTTTAAAAACTTTTCTCTGCGTGCCTGGGTGGGTGTGTGTGTGTGTGTGTGCATGGTAGGCCCAAATGTGTTTTGTGGCACACTACGGTATTTTCGTAGGCCCCCCATTTATCGTTAGTCTGAGTATCACCCGTTTTCCACGGAGCCAAGTCTCGTGTATAACGTCTGATAATTGTAAACATGCAGATATATGCAAGCCGCACGCAAGCCAATCGGAGTCGACTTTACTAAATCGTGACGTACTGACGTTATTTCATTCCCAACTCAGGACTAATGGTTTGATTGGTCAATTCGAATGCAGTGTTTCGTAATACAACAGCAGCCTGGCGCATATTGCGTAAATGTATAGAGCGCGTGACACTTTTTTTTTGTATCCATGTCTATGACGCGCAAAGGGTGAATGACCGAAGACCCGATGTAGAAAGCGCCCGCTGATTTGTCAAAATGTAAGAGGTCAAGAGGCGGTACATTGCATAATTAATCATCGAATCTGTTCATATCTAATCTATTACATAGACTAATTTCTAGTGGACCCCGAATTTTTTGAAGGCCCTAGGCACAGTGTGCCCATTAGGTAATCCGGGCCTTGCTGGGACGTGCACGTCATAAGGTCTTAGGTCTATCGCATGGCCAACTTTATTTTTGCTAATCAAAAATCGGCAGGGAAATATTCATAAGCAATACACAGACTTTTTGCTGGTATAACCTGTCCATCTTTATATCATGTGCTTTATGTGTTGTGCTTAGTACCTCAACACGTATGTTCATGCCAATGCACATGTACTTGTGAACCACTTAGTAAGTCTGGTTATCAGACCAGATGATTCTGACAATTCTGGAATCTTGCAGACGTTCTATGGCACCATTTATAAGGCACCCTTTATATATCTTAGCTCGTATGATGAGCTGAGGTTGTCAAAATTTTAAAACCATTTTTGAAAAAAAAATAACCTCTTTCAAAAAAAAATATTCAAAACCCCTGTAAATCAACCAAATTTTAGAACTATTTTTCCAGTTTCCCTGAACAATAGATAAACATGATGATATCATTTTCGATTTATTGTGAATACGATAATTCAAGACAAAAAAACGACGTTTTAGTGTCAGTGCAACAACGAATATACGCCCCAACGGACGTATACCTGCCTGATGACATTCAGACAGCAAATGCAAGAAAAAGTCAACTCGTACCCGAGTCAAATCGTACCATTTAATTCGTACCCAGGTTACCTCGTACATCAATCATGTCGTACTCACCTGTACGAATTTGAATGAGCGACATGTGAAACCTGTAAAAGTTTTTCACTTCAAAATGTGTATATATGTATATTAAGCAACACAGATTTCAATTTGAAGCACCAACCCTCAGAGGACAGTCTTCAACTCCTGGCATTTGTTGTCACCTTTGACGAATTGTTCTTTTGAATTGACTCATTGTTTATATCGTGTAATTGTTGAACGGAAGCAACATTACCTTGAAGGTTAAGTCGAGCCCTGGTGGGTCCGTGATCGGCACGGTTGCTCCACATTGACGACGCTGTGATGCTTGCATCTGGGATGCGACCATCTTCCATGCCAAAGGGACCCACCTCAGTGCACTCCAAGACGTCTGTCGGAGCTAGTGAAAAAAATCGATCAGAGTGGGGTGGGTCTCATTTAAATAAAGTAATTGCAATCATGGTTTAATGGACATAGTAGCCAGGCGCAGATTCAGCCTTCTCCTGATCAAGAGTGGAGAACATTTTGAGGAAAATTTGGGGGTAAAACGATGATGACGACGACAAAACGCAACACGAAAATAAAGAAAGCGATCACTGTGATGTACCAGGAACATCACAGTGATCAAATGTGGAGAACATTTTTTTTGGGGGGGGGGGAGCAAAAAAAACCCTTGGTTCCCAAAAAAGTGAGTCCAAAATATTACGGTGTGGGGCATTGACCCCCATACCCCCCCCCCCCCCCCCTCCATCCGCCCTTGCTTATGATCGTTGAAATGTGTTATAAAACTTTCTTTTACGTTCTTTTATTATCTTGTTTCGGTACCCCTTGTTGAACATTTTGACGTTTTGCACGAACGCTATAGGTTCACTTTTTATGAGCTTGGTGTTATAGTGGGTCAGAAAATATTTGGGGGAAGTGTGCCTTTGACGATAGGTCACACAGTCAAAGTTTGTCATGAGAAAGATATTGGTGTACAGGGCCATCGCAGGTTTGTCCTTTGACAAAAAAATGTAGGTCGAATAACAAGCAATTTTCAAACTTTTCAAAAGGGCTGTTTTTTCATGTTATTCTACAAATATCACATGACAAATTTGCGATGGCCCTATAGTCAAACATCTTTCACATGACATACTCTGATCGTGTGTCGAATTCTATGCTTGTATCATAAAAGGCAAACTCCCATCACCTATCTGCCGTACTATTAAGACGACGCGAACCATCAGTCTAAAAGCTAATCGTCGTCACGAAAAAAAGGAACTAAGTTGAAAGCTGTTTTGACAACCAAAAAAAACCATTATCTACAAAAACATCGCACCTACCTTTCTTACAACAAGAGTCATGGACACACGCTTTGACCGCATCAATTTGGTTTCGAAAGACGTCAAGTTGGCTATACAGCGGACGCAGAGCTGCTTCGAGAACCGAGTCGCAGTTACCGTTGTCGTGTGCAGCTGCAGCAAACAGGCAGCACTGGGCCAGCACGGCGAAAATAGCTGTCAGAAGGCACTTCATCTTGATCATCAGAGACAAACAATGTTCTGGAATCAATTCCAGTATCGCATTTATATAGGGTTTTATACAGCGCCTGAATAAATGCCCGATATCAGAATTGTGGCTCATTGATCACGTGTCATTGAATTATTCTCCCAAATGCCGGGCACAGCCGCATCACAAAATAGATAGTCTATCACACGGTAAATAGAAGTTCAATTGCACGGTCACACTATTGGTAGTTGTGACCAATGAGATGACGAGGATTTATTCAGTTGTAGAAAACAAATCATGAACGGCTAACATTCATTCGGTGACATAAATTATTCTCACCATTGCACTCATAAACGTTCATTCTTCAGTATAACAACTAAACTAGAACCCATGACGCCATGATGGGCACTAAAGGCGTTCCTCGTAAAAGTGGAACCGTCACGTATATGGGTCAGTCAGATTCCTCCAATGTCCAAGACTCATTCTATCGTGTTTTTCCCCAAACAAGGTCGTCCAAAAGTTGTAGTAAGCTGTATTGTGGACACATTTTCGCCGAAATAACAGCTCTTGTTTTCGTAGTTTGTTTAGTGCTTTCCGCATTGTTACGAAAAGCCTTTGTTTTTTGTTCTGATATCTTTTAGGTTTTTCGGCAAGTCACCTGAAACAGCTCACCTGCAAACAATTCTCATATAGAGATGCATGTTCATTGATTTCGTTTTGCGAAAAGAATACTTATTTTTTTTAGTGATTTGTAGACTGAACTTTAATTCGGTATTTGTGTTCAAAACTTCTTTGAAAAGCACATGAGTGATTTGAATGATTTTTGTAAAAGAAAGCTCATTTATTTGGTTTTCATATCCGAGATTTTAAAGTGATACAGGCAAAACTTTATCACAAATCGGTCCTGTCTGATAGGGTTGAAAATGACGTTATAGCTGTAAGACTGTGTGCACCATGCATCCTTTTCTACTGAAATCGTACATGAAGGCGTAAATGCACATATGTTTATGTCTAGATGGTGTGTGGCCCCTCCCACCTCCCACATTTCGAACTGCCAAGCTCCAGGTCCCCCGTATGTTGACAGAACCAGTCGTCGCTGATAAGAATAAACAACTACATGCATCTGAATGACAATCTTCGTTATGCAGTAATTAGGTGTTGTTCTAAAGTCCTTATAGTTTTGAAAGTGATGCCAAATTGTTACAGGTACCTTTGTAAGGGGATTTGTTTCAAACTCCTTTTTTTTCGTGTTGAAAATGGACAAAAAGAGGCCCACTGTCAAAGAAGCGGATTCAGCGTGGTTCTACCTGATAATAATAATAACTATTATTATTTTGACATGACGAATGCAATCAGCTGCGTAGATGTAAATTCCAACAGCTGCGAGCTTGTCTCTTGTCTTTGTTTTTTAAGGCGTTTTTCTAGAAATTAGGTCGGCGATATTCGCGGGAAAACTGTCAATTAAGTTCCTGCGGCATATCTTTGGAACAAATTAAGCTACAAAAAAAATTGTATCATTGGCAAGCCCATGATTTGCTCTTTGACATGATGTTTATAACTTGAAAAGTCAAAGGTGGGACTTATTCCTCATTATGCTATGGCAGGTCACTGCCCGTTTTTGAAATGCCACAAGGGAGTGAGCCGACATTGATTTTGGCTTTGAAGCACAGCTGTTTGTCAGTGTACGCAGCTGCTTAATTAATTACGGAGCACCATATGAAACAACCACAATGGGCCTACATAGAAATTCTTTTCTGTGTTAATTATTCCCCAGAAAATAGGAAATAAAAAGAGAAACGCAGTCCATAACAAAGATGAAACTCAACCTCCCGACTATGCTTTCAACCTAATTAAATATAGATTGAATTTTTTTTGATTTATTACCTGTTTGGGCGAAACAGCTGTTACTATTTTCCGCGTACTTGCACAATAGCCTTTGTTTTTGTTATGATTGGGTTTTCTGCAAAAATTGCGATGAATATACAGCTGCACGTATGCAAATTCCAACAGGTGCGAGTAACTAGATTGTTGCATTTTTTTCGTTGTGCGCGTATTTGATATGCCACAAAAGTGAGCAACACACTATTTTTTTTATTTGAATCTGTTACCAGTTCATCAATGCACACAGCTGCTTCATGATGAGTGCATACAGAAGCACGGATGCGAATTCCAACAGTTTTTTTGTCATTTGTCATTTTGTCATTATGATATATGTAGCCTATATTATGCCACTCATTGCAATCAACATTAATGAGCCGGTATTAAATTTGGATTTGAAGCACAGCTGCAGCCTGCTGTGTCCTGTTTGTCACTGAACACATCAGCTTCAAATACAAAGAAACAGCTAGTTGAATCATCACCAATGGGCCCGGATAGAAATTCCTTTGTGTACAATCTGGAGGAATATTAAAACGGAGACAAAAAAGTCGAAAATTTACTCTTTTGTATTTGATATGCCACATCATAATGAGCAGACAATGAGATTGGATTTGAAGCACAGCTGCAGCCTGCTGTGTCATGTTTGTCATTGTACACATCAAATACAAAGAAACAATTGAATCCACACCGATGGGCCCGGATAGAAATTCCTTTGTGTACAATCTGGGGAATATCAAAACGGAGACACGAAGTCAAAAGTAAGTTGAAACTCAATCCCGACCATGTTTTCAGCATGATTAAATATCGACTTGTTCAAAGTTTTACTCATAATTTATATCAGCTGCTTCGGCGACACAGTTTGGCCCACCAGCTCTTGTTTTCGGAAATATTTCTGTTTTTTTAATTGTTTTTTTACTCTTAAATGCGAAAGACGGACTCGTCAAGCATATGGAATTAATACATTCATCACAGAAAAGGGGATAACTAAAACATATGGCAGTATGGAGGGCTGTATAAAAACAATTTCGAAACTTTGAAATTCAACCGAATTATCTTTTGTTCCCTCAAAATATGTGTTTTGTATTTTGAATATACCTTTCATTGTATGTACAACATGTAAAACTAATCAAATAAACTTATTGCATTAAGAAAATATCCTCAGCTACCTACTGTATTTGAAACGTCCGGTAATCGAAAGCAAATTTTCTGGACATAATTTACACAAAAATGTTGTTGTGTCATTTTCAGTAAGCATCCATTACACGAAAATTTCATGACAGAAAAAAAAGGATTTTATTTTTTCTCTTAAAGCACGATACATAGTTTTTAAAAATTACGATATTTGTGTTACGGTGCATGCAAATAAACTTTTAACTTTGAGGTATTCAACTCATCCCTAATAAAGCATGATCATGCATGGATCAAATACGTTTGGACTTGTATTTGACAACTGCAAAGGACCGAATACGACACATGTACACATCCCCCCCCCAATCGAAACTCCACCCAGCCCTACCATGGACTCGAGTCACATTTTTCGTGACTCGGACTCGATTCAAGTCACATTGGAAAATTACTCGAACTCGGACTCGGACTCGACCATGATGAATCGGACTCAAGCTTGGTGACCCGTGACTCGAGTCACGTATATTCATTAAAAAACATAACGTTACGTATTTGTGCGACGAACGTAGCATTCATTTTTTACTCCATAGACAAAACACGGCGCCGCGGAAAATCGTATCTAGGGGCCGCACGCACACCCCCTAGCCCCTGCACGACGAGCACCGTGCATGCCAAAAAGTGTCCAGTATCATGGAGGAGGGTATTTTTAGGGATGGGATTTAAAAGGAAAACACATTTTGGGTCTAAACAACATGTACACACACAAGGTAAACTTTATACACTGAGATTTACTTAAAAGAAAGAATGGATGATTGAAAAATAATTATAAAAAAATGATTAGTTTGGTGAACAACTAAGAACAAGTGACTCGTGACTCGGACTCGGACTCGAGGCTTGTGACTCGAGACTCGGACTCGGACTCGAGGCTTGTGACTCGAGACTCGGACTCGGACTCGAGGCTCGTGACTCGAGACTCGGACTCGAGGCTTGTGACCCGAGACTCAGACTCGGACTCGAGGCTTGTGACACGAGACTCGGACTCGGACTCGACGTTGGTGACTCGACTTCAACACTGACCCCTACTCACACTTGTGTGGGGTGGGTTTCTCATTGTTACAGGCAGGTGCGTTCGAGCGTACAAGAGAGGTATATCAGATGGCCATTCAAGGACGTATGCGACCAACAAACACCCACAAAGCTAAGACCCAGAGAGCCGGCACTCACCGAGGATAGGCTGACTGGTAGTGTGAACTTGTACCATGTTATGAAGATTTTGTAAATTTTATTACGTCATCATGACGTCATCAGGTATCAAATTACAAGCGACTTAAGGGCAAATTTTGACAAAATAGTTTGAGTTTTATCGTGTTCGTTTTTCTCGAGGTTGTAGACTATGCCGTGAGAAACATTTTGTGTTCCCAGACACAAAACCGCTTGACCTTTACTTCCGGTGTTACCGGAAGTGCAATAAAAACTGAATAAAACTCAAAAGCGGAAGCATTTTACTACAGACACATATATTATGAAAGTGTTTAGTGAGGAATGCCAGACACAAACACAGTGTGATGACGTCATCATCCGAAAGGGCGCCCCTAGTGGCACATAAAATAGTGTTTCTTTTATTTATTTTTAAAAACATAGGTTCAAATTTTACCAAATCGCACTTTGATATTCTTTGATTAACCACAGATAACTTGGCAAGGTTGCAAATTCATGACGTCATCAGACCAGAAGTTACTTCTACGGAGAATTTGAAAATGACCATATTTCAAATGCAATTCTATCAATTGATCCATGTCGATCTTAGCTCAAATAAGATATCCATTACAATGTTCACCTTTGCTTCCAATACTGTGACGTAATCAAACCGGAAGGAAGATTACGTGTTATGAATACATAAACTTCCAAATTTCCATACGTTATTTAACGTCACAATGAACATTTATCCAATCCGATCTCAATCAGTATTCATTTCCCGTTATTGAATAATGACGTCATCAAGCAAGACATAACTTGATTGTGTACATAGAATGTTTACTGAAATTTATCACGTCAAAGAT